ACGTACAACAGAAGCGCTGCGCTGTTACACTACGCAAACTCACTCGAGGCCCACAGCGAAGGAAATTAATAGTTGAATGAAGTCGTTATTTTGTTTTTGCGCACAAAAAGTATTCTCGTCGCTTGATAAACTTAAGATTGAGTCACTGGGACTATTTTAATTATATCTTTAATAACTTTTCTGGGCCAGCAAGTTTCGATCCCTTAGAAGCCTATGGAGGAGTGATCCAGCTCTCAGATTTAATCAAAAATATCTTAGTTTGTGTTACGAAGATGAACGAAATTCTTATGGATTTGGAACAACATGAGGGAGAGTAATTACTGACAGCATTTTCATTTTGGGGTGAACTATCCCTTTAAAGAACACCTTAAACAACAACTGTTTCAGAGTCTTAACTCTAGGGGTCATCCATCGTATAGCTTAGAAACACCCAAATCCTGGACTATTTTGAATTCCAAAGTCCATTTGTGACTTAAACAAAGTGTATGAGTCTAGGAGTGGTAATTTCAAAGTGTTTGAACATGCATTTGCCATTGGGAACACAGAGTCATCCAGGAACTCTATTTGTGGCAGTGGTTCCAAGCCAGATGGGGGAAGTGAGGACAGCCCAGTAGCAAACATCAAAATATCTTCTACAGACACAGCAGCCTGGTCTTCTGCAAAGAAAAAAACAATTCTGATACATCATTGCCATGTGTTTTCTTAACTAGTTATACAAAACAAATGAACTAACAAACCTTCACAATCAAGGAGATAGTCTGCCCAGTAGGCCATGGTTTGACTCCAGGGTTGAAAGACCGTCTCTGAATCTACAGTGAACAAAAACATCGTTTCACTGCTGTGTAGTGACAATTGAATTTAAATTATCTATAGAAACTATTAAATATTCTCTTCTCGACAATTAATATCCACCTTAAACATACATTTGGGGGAAGAAATTATGTTGAAAATTTATTTAAGAAACCCTATTTTTGCGTTGCACATTAAATGTTAATTGTTACGAACTAAGTATAACACAGAAACAAAAGACTGGAATGACACAGACAGCTGGGTGGCTTGAGCACTCATACGATGCCTTCAGAAAGTCTACACACCCCTTGCACATTTTCAAAACTTGTTGCATTATATAATCAATTTCAAATAGTAATATCAATCTTTTTCCTCCTCACTCTACACACACAATACATCATCATGACAAAGCAAAAAGAGTTTTTTAGAAATTGTAGCAAATTTGATAAAAATTAAAAACTTAAATATCACATTCACACAAGTTAATGAACCATTTTCTCAGTACGCTGTTTAACCCTTAAACAGGCAAGAGTGGAAAATGCTAAGCAAAAAATAATTTCTAGTAATTTTTTACATCATCTGGACTTAAATAAAACATATCCAAAAGAATTTAAAAAAAATTAGATATATTTTTGGATTTTATGAGTTGACTCCTGAGTCACTTTGCCTGATTAGGGTATAAAAAAGGACCAAGTCATTAATCTGTTGACTGTTACTGCATGTTTACACCAGATCTAATGTTGACAAATGATATCATTCGAAAGCTTACGAACTCGAGACAGCCTGTGAAACCCATTTTGAAATTGGACGTTGCGCAACTTTAGAAACGGTACTCTAAATTCTTTTAATGGGCTCCTCCCCTTTTGGGCATCGTCATGTTTCATAATTTATGATCAAAACCTTTTTTTATCTTGACAAAACACATTGTCAGAAAGGTCTAAGTCTCAAGGTTACATATTTTGTGACAGAAGTGATATTTGGACATAAGTTTATTAATTTGTTATGGCAGAGTGCATACAATTATTCACCCGGTGGCTATTTTTGGTGTTATGCCTAAACAAAATCTCATGGGAACTTCAATTTTTGTGATATCAACTTCAAATTTGGAACACAACCTTGTTATATATATGGCTTTGATTTTATTGTAATAAATATTTTTTAAAATACATATTCTATAAAAATGAAAAAAATATATAGTATATTTGATTTAATGTAAGTTTAAACTTCCATAACATTTTCATACTTTCACTGTTTTCGTTAAAACAAGAGCAAACTTAGGTCTATATTCCATAGCATTGTTGAATTACAATCATTTAAGTTTGAATAGTGCATTTTAAATAGAGCTAGATTAATTCCTTTTTTATACCCTAAACAGGCAACGTGACTCAGGAGTCACATACATTTCAAAACATAAATAACAACAACTAAATAACAGCATGAACAACATATTACTTAATTTTCTCCTTCAGCACCTTAATACAATGTTTACAATTAATGTCAGCATTATTTTCAAAAATTTCCCCAGGAGAAAAGTTAGTTTAATATAGATTTACTATTTCTAAAATTTGATTGTTCTGCACCACTGGCAGCCATGTTTTATTTAGGTCAGGCTGACTAATTGATCACAAAAATTTGAAGCAAATCATGTGACCATCATACTCAAGACAGACCAGGCTGTCATAAGTGATAAGGATTTGATGAAAAAAATCATTCTTATGCCCCAAAAAAGACAATAAAAACGATGTGACTCGTGAGTCACGTTGCCTGTTTTAGGGTTCAGCACCTTTGGAAGTAATTCCTGCCTGGATTCCTCGTGTATGAAGCTACAGCTTTACACACCCATCAACATCACCACACTCTTTATATCTGATTTTCAGGGACACACACACAAGAGATACTAAAACATCTCTGCATGTCATGATCTCTATGAGAACTGGGGTCAGAAATAGATTCAGATCACTTTAATGAGTAACTGGACTGATTTTCCTCTATGGAAGAATTAGTCAGGAGGAGAATTCTGAGATCTAATTTCTGTTTTTGCTTTGTCATTATGATGTATTGTGTGTAGATTGATGAGGAAAAGGATTAATATATATTTTAATTACATCTATAAGGTGAGAAGACTTAATGAAGGCACTGTAGTTTGACAGTTTGAAGTAACATCACATATCAGTTGAAATACACTAAGGTACAAATTCTGTCACAGTGACAAATTGATAACAGATATACATCCCTGCATAAACCAAAGATGGGGACCATGAGGCATTTCAAACTAGAAAATTTGTATATAAATACATAAAAAAAGAAGAAAATCATCACCACAAATATCATCTTACCTTTCAATTACAGATGAGTTGCGGTCAATAATATACCATTGGAGGTAGTCTGACACAATTTCTTTCTTTTCTTCCACAGTAGCCACATGTCTCAGACAACCTGCTGTCTGTAACATTGTGCTGTGTCTCATCATACATTCTTGCAGAGCATCCAATGAAGCAGCATTCTCAATCTGAAAGACATGACAATGGGCATAAACACCCTGTCAATATCAAAACGATATAGGAAGTAAACATTGTCTCAAAACACTGCAGGAACTATGTAAAATTCTGCCCTACCATGCCTTATGCTACTCTCACCTCTTGCAAAGCTTTCCCTATTTCTTCATCAGTTATTAAGTTATTTGTTGCTTTGAATGAAGGCTGGCCTGCAAGATAATGTACAAGATCTTCCGACAGGAAATGGGGCCCTGGACCTCCATGCACAACTGACACAGCAATCATCTTTCCTGCCAGGTAGTATTCATCCTCCCTAACAGCTGTGAATTAATTCATATTGCAAAATAAAACAAACAATGCATTACTGTAATATACAAGCATATGTCATGTGATATATATATATATATATATATATAGTCAAAGAGCATTAACCAACCATTAGTAGCCTATAGTACACATCTAACCAATATGCATACCATTTGCATTGTAGACCAAGAACCGATGTCCTTCTGGTCCATCAAAAATGGGCCGGTCTTTTAGGTGTTTCATCAGTAGAGTCAAAAACTCTCGTCTTGGACCACCAGTGTCAATTCCCTCTTCCAGAACACCAGTATCATCAGTAAATTTCACCAGCATGTCACAGGTTTCAGAATAGGTTGTACGCTTGAAACCTCTGACTGCCCCATCCCAAAAGTTAGCCCTTGAGATGTTGAACCGGCTGACTTTTTTGTGATCAATAGGAAGTGACAGGTTTGCCACGATGTCAGGTAATGTAATGCCCGTCTCCTCCCTGTAATGACAAAAAGTGACTTCATATACCAGAACTATTGTACAGTGATAAAACTGGAGTGCTATAGTCAAAAGCTGTCATATTACATTGCTGTGTGTTGAAAATTCGTCACATTGACTCATTGCTCTTCGTCTTCTTGCTCAACATTTGGTGAAAACAGGTCTGTGTATTTACTGTTGGGAAATTACCATTTCTATGTTAAAACATCTTACAAACAAAAATGTCTTCCCCATGTAAGAAGTTAAATAAATTTAAATTATGTCTTTATCTTCTTTTTTTTTTACTTACATGTAGCAAGACGGTTTTTCTGGATTTGTTTCAGGTGGATCCAGATCCTCAGCATCAGATATTACTATCTGAAAAACAGATTAAAATGTCTTAAACAACAACACTGGACGCAAGAAATGTCATGCTGCCACAGTCTGCCTTATTACCTGTCCTGGCTGAATTGTTGAGGATTGCCCTGGTGCATCTCTGAAACATGATAAAACATATTACAATGAGTAGCTCCATGATAAAAGCTATAAGGCAGTTTTGAGTAACATGTAGTAGTAGAGGGAGGGAACAAAAAGAATTTATACAAAAAAAAAAAAAAACATTATTTCATTATAAATCGCATACATATGGCGTTTTCTGTTTCAAGTTCATCCGAGCTAATTCTCTGATCACATCAACAACTTAAATAATTTAAGATAAATTATTTCTTAAGAACATGTGGATAGGAGCGCTTCCTGAACTCAAATCTGAGTTTGTTTGAGTTTCTTTTTGAATGGAAAAGGTATAAAATAAGAGAAAGCTCAAACTACTATTTTTAACTATTACAGTACTTGTATTGCGAGTTCTTTAGTTTGTTCTGGACGACTGTGCCACTTCAATAAAGGCCTATAGTACCTTTGTGGAAACGAAAATGATGTGGGACAGTGGATACCCCCCACTTCATTCTCATGTGTTTTTTTTAATGGTTTGGTTAATTTGTGTCATTTGTGTTTATTCACCTGCAAGAGCAACTGTATTTCAGTAGGTTTATTCTGTGATGTTAAAAGTAAAGCTCACACAGGCAGCTGTGGGTACTCTAGGTATGCAGCGAGGGGGCACCTCAGTCAGTTACAGAAACGGCTGATAGCATGTAGCAACATTGAGCTTATGTGCAGAAATATAAATGTATGTATAATGTGTCTGTGAATAAGTAGTGAAATATCTCCTAGTAGTTTTAGCAGTTTTGTGAATTAAATGAAAAAAAATTTTTTTTGATAATGCACCTGGTAGTGAAAGCACTGTAGCCCAGTAAAATATGAATTATTATTATCATTTCCAGTTAAGAAGTAAATAAATAATTTCAACCCATGCAAGCCTGAAAGTTCCTTTGTGTCCAAGTGTGCAACACCTACCTTTCATCTTCCAGTTTGTATTTGGGAGTACTTCGATTTTGTGGTTCAAAAACCTGAGAGGAAACGGATAAAATGATCAACAACTTTCAACAGCTTACATCATTTTTTTACATTACGACACAGTATATCAATGCTGAATGGTTGCCTGTGTAACAGTAACACAGGTATTAGTAATAGTAATAGTAACGGCAAAATAATCAAAACAAGCCTTTTTCACTAAAATATTGATCAGGATATTGATGTTATGCTTAAAATCCAATAAATCTAATAAATTATATGAAAATGAATAAATACAAACATACATCATTGGTTTAAAAAAGAACTAACAGATGTACCAAAGTGTCAGCTCGATTGAATTCAGCTCTGCTCCTTGTTGTGATGACAATTTCAGAATCAGAATCTGAGGTATCGTACTCTGAAAAAATTAAATCAAACAACCATTATTTATCCTTCAGCAGAGTATTTGAATATTTAAAATATTGAATTATGAGATCCACTAACCTCTTTTAAAGTGCTTTTCTAGGCAAATGAAAAAAGTAATCCTGGAATATGCCTTTCCTATTTCTTTTTTATATTCTGCCAATTTAAATGGCCTTTCTGACCTAGGCACATGGACCACCTCTGAGCAGTCTGGATACAAAAGGACATAAGGTCCTTCGTGCATGTCCTTGTTAAATGTTCTCATTTTCTGGACAGCTTGTTTCAGTAGATCAGGTGCTGCTATCTCTGGGTCTGTAAATAACATCTCGGGTTACGTATGTAACCCTGGTTCCCCGAGAAGGGGAACGAGACACTGCGTCGGTTACGACACTATGGGAACGCCTCTAGGAGAAGCAGGTCTGAACGTGAATGAAATCACTCCAATCCTATTGGCTTGTTGCTAGAACGGTAAGGTGTGACGGAATAACCGGAGGAGTATAAAGCACACCTGTACACACTCATCATTAGCTTAACTATGAAGCAGGCGCTTCAGGCGGGGAGAGAGGTGCGGCGGGCCGACGCAGTGTCTCGTTCCCCTTCTCGGGGAACCAGGGAGAGCGCACGAGTGCCAGGTGCCGAAGGAAGGTCAAGACTGTAAAACCGAATGAATGTGTGCGGAGTGGCCCAGCCAGCCGCTAAACAAACGTCCTGCAAGAGGCCCCGGAAAGGAGGGCTCGAGAGGCCGCCATGCCTCTGGTAGAATGAGCCCTCACAGCCACAGGTGAAGGCAAACCGCGCACCTGATAGGCCAGGGAAATAGTCTGAACAATCCAGTTGCTAATAGTATGTTTGGATGCAGGGAGCCCGGCCCTGGAAGACCCAAAACACACTAGCAGCTGGTCAGCCTTCCTCCAACGGGAGGACCTCAGAGTGTAAATACTCAGTGCTCTGACAGGGCAGAGCAGATGAAGTCTCCCGTCCTCCGCCGTCACATGAGGTGGAGGATGAAATGCCTGCAGCACTGTGGACCCTGCCGCACAAGAAGGCACTTTAGGGATGTATCCTGAATGAGGGTGCAGGATAGCCCTAATATTCCCCGGGCAAACTCCAGGCTTTGCGGGGAAACCGAAAGCGCTTGGAGATCCCCCACCCTCCTCAGAGAGGTGATAGCAAGGAGAAAGGCCATCTTGAGGGTCAAGTGCTTAGCCTCAGCTGACTCCAGGGGTTTGAAGGGGGCCTCAGCCAACGCCCCAAGAACCACTGCCAGATCCCAAGTGGGAACCTTGGACCGAGTCGCAGGTCTCATCCTCCGGGCACCACGGAGGAAACGTACAACCAAGGGAAGTTTCCCCAAGGACCCCTCCCTCAGAGGGGTGTGGAAAATAGCTGCCACGTACACCTTGAGGGTGGAAGGGGAAAGACCAGCAGAGAACCGGTCCTGGAGGAACTCAAGTACCGGAACCACCGGGCAGGTAACAGGGTCCACCAACTGCTCCCTACACCAAGTGGAGAAAACACTCCACTTCAGGCCGTACATCCTCCGTGTGGACGGGGCCCTGGAGCTCAGGAGGGTCTTGACTGCTCCGGCTGTTAGACCTGCCTCTAGGTACTGTGCCCCCTCAGGGGCCAGACCCACAGTCGCCATATGGCGGGGCAAGGGTGAAGAACCCGGCCCTGCGCCTGGGACAGCAGGTCTCTCCTCAGAGGGAGTGACATGATGTCCGAGAACCACACCCGGGTTGGCCAGAACGGGGCTACGAGCAGTAGGCCGACATTGTCCTGGCGGACCTGCTCCAGAACCCCGGGAGCAGAGCGACTGGGGGAAAAGCGTACAGACGTAGCCTCGGCCACGAATGTACCATGGCGTCCAGACCCAACAGGGCTGGAGGAACGAGAGAAACCATAGCGGGCAGTGCGTAGTCTCTTGAGACGCAACAGATCCACGTCTATGGGGCCGAACTCTTCGCACAAGAGCTCCACCACTTCTGGGTGAAGTCTCCATTCCCCGGGCCTCAGCCCCTGCCTCGACAGCAGGTCTGCTCCCTGATTCTGCGTCCCCGGGAGATACATCGCCCTGAGCAATAGTAACCTCTGCTGGGACCACAGGAGGATCTGACGCGCCAGTCTGTCCAGAGGGCGCGAGCGCAGATCGCCCTGGTGATTCAGATAGGCCACCACCGCTGTGTTGTTCTCTTCGGAACGAACCAGGACGTGGTGGCCTTGGAGATCGGGCAGGAAACTCCTTAGAGCCTGGAACACCGCCAACATCTCGAGACAGTTGATATGCCACTTGGATTGATGCACCTGCCAGGATCCCCTTGCAAAGCGGCCGTCCATGACCGCGCCCCAGCCCGTGAGGGAGGCGTCTGTCGAAATAACCAGCCGGCGACAAGACCCTCCCAGCATGGCCCCTGGGACAGGAACCAAGTTTCCTTCCAAACTGATAGGGAACGAAGACACTTGCGCGTAACCCAAATCAGATGGAGAGGATTTCCCCTCGGGGAAAAACCCTTGTTCCTTAGCCACCACTGCAGGGGTCTCATGTGCAGCAGTCCAGATGGTATTACGCTGGACGCAGCCGCCAGGAGACCCAACACTCGTTGAAAGTGTTTCATAGTGATGGCGTGGCCTAACTTCACCCCTTTCACGGCAGCCAATATAGTGTCGACGCGTGCCGGAGACAATTGTGCCCGCATCGTTGTCGAATCCCATACAACCCCTAGGAACGTAGTCCATTGGGTGGGCGCCAGCATGCTCTTCTTTGCGTTTAGCCTCAGCCCTAAACGCCGCAGATGAGCCAGAACGACATCTCAATGCCGAACCGCCAACTCTCGAGACTGGGCTAGGATGAGCCAGTCGTCAATGAAGTTGAAATCCGGATGCCCCGGAGCCTCAGCGGGGCCAGTGCTGCATCCATACACTTGGTGAATGTGCGAGGGGAAGTGCCAGGCCGAATGGAAGAACCCGATACTGGTAAGCCACACCCCCGAAGGCAAACCTCAGGAACTTCCGGTGAGAAGGACGGATGGAGACCTGGAAATAGGCGTCCTTTAGATCTATCGTGACGAACCAATCCTCAGATTGGATGTGCGTCACGGTGGCGGGGATGATGAGCATCTTTAACCTGAATCTCCTCAGAAACCGGTTAGAACCCGCAGATCCAAAATAGGGCACGCAGCCCTCCGTCCTTCTTGGGGACGGGAGGGGAGAAAGACTCCCCTACCCCGGTCTTCCCTGAGCTCCGTCGGGACTGGATGACGGTCCTCAGATCGCGTCTCTCAGATGGCTGAGGATGAGAGCGCCATCTCGCTGCCCCAGCTCCTCGGGGGGGCCCCCGAGAAGCGACACTCTGCTTCCTCTCCTCTCCGTAAGAGCTCGTAGAGGGAAGGGACCTACGCCTGGCAGCCTCAGCTGCCTTGGGTCCAGACCGGCGAGGGAGGTACTGGCGGGAACGCTTCGCCCTGCGTCTAACGCTTCGTGGTTCTGCGAAGCTCCACCAGATCTTCCTCAGAGGGACCCCCCCTCTGAACCATCTCCTGTAGCAGGTCGGCTTGGTAGGCTTGAAGCACCGTGGTGTGCAAGCTCGCACCTGCCTGGCCCGCTGCCATGTATGCCTTCCCCACGAGCGTGGATGTGGTGCGACATGGTTTGGATGGTAACGCCGGCTTCTCCAGGGAGGACGCAAGTCGAGGGGAGAGATAGCTCGCAAGCGCATCCTCCACCCGAGGCATCCTCCCATAAGCACGGTCCCTAACCCCCATCACATTACTGTAGTTCAGTGATCGGGGTGTGGAAAGCCGTGTAGAGAAGGGTCTGCCCCATCATTACTCAGTTCATCATGTAAATCAGGAAAGAATGGCAGAGACCGGCGTGGAGGTGGCGTGTGGTGCTTAAGAAACCTTTCATCAAGCTTACCACTAGCCTGTGGTGTCTGCTCCTCCTGTGGCCAGTTGATGTTGAGCTTAGCCACGGCTCTAGTCACCACCTCCAGCAGCACGTCATAGTCGGGCGCCGCCTGATGACGCCGCCCCGACACCCGGAAGTCATCGTTCACTACGCTGAGCACATCCGCCTCCTCGGAGTCGGATTGCTGCAGCGTCTCCGGATCCAAACCGCGAGCGGGAGAAGCCGAGAACGGGCTCCCGAACGAGGAAAGGAAGTGTCGGAGCCAGTGGATGAAGGTCGGGAAAAAGCCTCAGCCGTCCCGAAATCCTCCGACAGATCACGCTGTGAACCCCCATGAGTGAAGCCGCCGGGCCACCTCAGCGGCCGCAGGGCCCACACCGCGGGGAAAACACATCCGGCCATCCTCGGAAAAGAGAGCCATGCTGTACCTCAGTACCCACATGGAAAGGGCTTCGCAACGGGCGCAGGCAGCCCCCTCGAGAGCTGCCCGGGCATGCTCCATCCCCAAACATGAGACACACATCTCATGAGAATCTCCATCCGTGATGTACCGAGGGCAAGAAAAAACACACCTTCTGTACATCTGGTTGCCGGACATGCTGGTAGACTTCTTCTTCAGGTAAGACACACTGCTTGTAGGACTGGAGCTTTCTTCAAACAACATACAGAGCGCCTGCTGAATAGAAAAAAGCTAATGATGAGTGTGTACAGGTGTGCTTATACTCCTCCGGTTATTCCGTCACACCTTACCGTTCTAGCAACAAGCCAATAGGATTGGAGTGATTTCATTCACGTTCAGACCTGCTTCGCCTAGAGGCGTTCCCATAGTGTCGTATCCGACGCAGTTCGAGTTCCCTCGAAGGGGAACGGGAGTGTTTTCCCTCTTAGAGGTTTTAAATCAGTTCCGTCAGTTCCATGTGGCCCCATCAATCCTACGTTTATCTAGTAATATAACAAAGATATAATTCATGTATAGGTAAAATCCACACACACAAATACATATAGAACATTGCAAAATTTTATAGGACGGTCAGTACAACTTACCTGGACGTTTTTTCTTTCTTTAGGCCTAGATCTTCCTTTTGGCCCATAGTTAAAAGATAGTTAAAGTCTTTCTTTTGACTTCGAGCTTCTATACTCCATGAACTGTTTGTATGATGGGCATGGTTGTTCTGCTGAAATGGATAGAATTCCATTTCAAAATAGAAAGTTAGAAGCATAGAGACTGTAAAATGTTAG